CTTTCCATACAACAACGAGACGACGCTCTTCTAGACAAAGTTCTGATTCAGCGCGGGGTATATCTTTACGCAGTTTTAAGTGAAAAAGAAACGTTGGTTCACTGTATATTTGAAAAGGCGGCGTTTGATATAGCCTCTACCTTTCTAGAACATGCGAATATGATTAATTTCAACGCTCGCGACTAGATAGGACGCAATGCTTTGCATGCCGCTTACAATTCTTCGAGAACTATTCCAGAATATAGACATGAACACTAATACCCAAAACAGAAATTACCGGCTATCCAACTGCTCTATGATCGCAAAATAGATCTGGCCACAGACAATAAAGGTCGAAGCGCCCTCCATTACCTGCTTTATAACCCTGACCTCGAAGAAGAAGCTGTGATAGGAGTTCTTGCCTACACAAGTATGAAGAAACTCTTGCACCAAGCCGACAACCAGGGATATGTTCCAATCCACAACGCACCTCGCATGCTTTGCCTACTCATTCTTCATATTCTGCTTAAAATGGGCGCCAATCCTCTCCTCCCAGATCCGACCTGATGCGGCCACTTTATCACTTCACTTATCTTGAATTCTCGCAAGCCATATAGAGAAGGGGGATATAGTGAAGATCAAAACAAGACATTCTATGCCGACTGTATAGATCTCTGGAAGAATTTTATAAGGTAAGGAGTGTCCTATCAATGCTTAGGATAAAGCTGGAAACCTACCACTTTTTCGTCTCCACTACAAGAGGACACAGGTGGAAACTTCCTAGTTATCCTTCAGCAAATCCTGTAGCCGAACCTGAAGAAGTTAAAGACTGCCACAGATTTACTTTCCGTCATTTTTTCGATCAACCAGATTTTCAAATTGACGCCCGCAACAATGATTTCGAGAACACTCCACATTTTAGTTAAGGATGGCAGCAATAGTGAACATAATAAACAGTTATTCAAGTTCTTAGTCGGTAAGGGATTAGACTTGCTAGCTGAAGACAATAGGGGAGGAGCAGTTTTGACATTGCCGCCGCAGAGAGGAAGACGAATATTCTAGAGCTGTTCCAGTTCAAAGACTGAAGTTAGCTACAGGTGCAGCGTGGTGGACAAATAACGGCGAACTAGTCAACCCGCCTTATGAACTATAGCGAACTGTTTATGGTGGAGGGCTCGAAACTGTTGTGATTTGATTCAAACGCCTTTCTGCTATATCTCGTATATCTTCATGTTATGGTGATTCGAACAAACGGAATACTATATTCGTGTGTTGACGCTACATTTTCTATCCTTTCCTCGTTGGGCCACCATGAAAGTTTCTTGCCGACTGTACTTGTCTTCGGGACTGAAAGAAGAATAGCAGATTTCGGGCCGCAACAGCGTTCTTCAGGCCGAGGTTACGAGGCATTTCCAAGTGCTGCCGAGTGTCATTCTTCCCTCTCCTCATTCGGCGAGGTAACTGCGGCTTGGGAAAGCCACTACAACATTAAATTCATGCATAACAAGCCTCCAAATACCTGCTACGCACTTTGTTTATCCTCCAACTGAGAAGTTTCACACTGCGGGGCAACTTCCACTTTGTGTTGTCACCTTTTTATTTTCTACGGTATGGGAAATGAGTAGTATCTAATTTTAATTCATTAATACACGATTTCATTATATCTTATTTTGTTTTACAGACCTTGCATCAAATCACAAACTCACCCCCTCCCACCACTCCTTTCCTGGCTAGTAGTGACTTCCATCGTCTTCCTCACTCTCCAATCACCCTTCCCGCCCTGCTGAATCGGCAAGAACTCCTCACTACTATCATCCCCCAACCCCGTCGCGCTCTTCGAGCTCTTACCCCACCTCAAACTCTCACTACTCTTCGTTCGCCTCGCCGCCTCCTCACTACTCGGCCCTTGCACAACCGTTACCACTCCCGCACCCGCCTTGATATCACTGCGTAATCCTAACACTAGTTCTTCATCTACAACACCATTACTCTTACTCCCGCTGCGAAAATAATTTCCTCGCGTGGGGCGGTTCGAACCAGGCCATGGCAAACTGCCACTTGGCGGCGCGGGAGTAGAGCGAGAGCCAAAGAGCTTGGAGCGCGCAAAGAAGGTGCGGAAGAGGGGCCGGAGGGTTGCCATGCTGGAGGCCACTATGCCAATGCCGGGTTCAACGGTGGACCAGATTGCGACGTCGGATGTGCTGTAGAGGAAATCGCCTTGGGAGAGTTGGTTTATGTAGGGAATTCGGACGATGGTTGCTGTTGAGCCACTGTTGATAGATGATTTTGTTAGCAACTAGTCCCACTTTTCTGTATTAGGAATCAAAGTGTAGAGATAAGACATGAGAATGAGAGGTCACTTACATTGCTCCAAGTCCGAGAATGACTCCAACTATGATCTTTGTTCGTGGGTTCATGGCAAGATCCCACACGAGGAAGATTGGGAGTATGCCGAGTGTCCACTACACACAAAGTCAGTTATCTAAATGCAAGAAGGATCTAAACAAGGCCTCGCTTACATCAACAAGAGCAGACACAGCTGAGTGAGCGTACGTCGCATCTGGAATGACATGAGATTCGAGGCATGTTCCCTTACCACCAGTATACTGGGTCCAAAAGTACGTAGGTGGTGTGCATTGGAAAACGATCAGGAAGAAGTAGAAGATACTGAAAGTGGTGACTATGCCCATCGTCATGTAGATTGTGATTCTCTGCATTGGCTTGACACATATTCTCATTAGGAAAATGCCAATGCTGACTTTTAAGACGGCTGTTGAGGATACATAGGCTAATTCACAACACCACCACCACTGCCAGACGTTAGTAAAGGAGTAACTTTTGGTCGTGAGTTCGATTTACCTTGATAGCGATGGGAATGTTGCTTTGGTCAAGGTCAGCAAGATGCTGTCCTGTTCCATAGTGAACACCCAGGAGCACAAATGCGCAATACAGAGTAAACAGGATCTATAGTTCAACAAGTTAGTTTTCATCGAGCCTCACGCAACTAAACAGAAACAAGGGGTTCGCCCAAATAACAATTTCAACGGCTTTTGTGGAGATAGCCTCGAGCTAGAAGCAATCCAACAAGTGAAAAGAACTTACCAATGCAGCAACAGCAAGCCAATCATCTGCCCCAAAACTCTTCATCAACACAGTTCGTACATAACAACGTAAACTGACGAAAATCCACGACAACGTCAGAAAGAGGATGGCACTTGCTGCCACTTGAGGGCCTCTGTTCTCAACCGCCATATCGACAAATTCTCTGATAAATGGGAAAGACGAATGGCACTTTGTGGGACTATGGAGTAGATATAAAGTTAGTTTTCCTATAAGGGGAGAGAAAGAGCTAAGCGTTGACGGCTCTTAGCATCCAAACCCAAGACCCACAACGCAATATCTCCACTCTGTCAGGTCGCTGCAGGGCAGAGTGTCGATCTTATGAGATCTTGGAGCTCGTGGCTCGCCTTCTTCTGGAGACTTCTCCGCCAACCCCTACCTCTCATACAGTAGCTAAAACACATGCTATTCTAGTCTAACAGAATGACATTTACCGTCCTTCGGGGCGAGTCGGAGCTCGCTTACATGACACTCTTGAAGTGGCTGACAACTCCCTTGAACTTCGAGGAGATTTTGACAACGTGACAGCCTTCAGTAATGGGCAAAACTTACATTCGCCTCGGATCTTGTACTTTACCATTTTAGGAAGACAGATTCCTCGTAGTAGAGGCGGCTACTTTTATGGCCGGATACTCAAGCAACACGACTCGTAAAAGTCGAGATCTCAGTCTGGCACTGGGAAAAACTAGGCACAGGTGTGCAGAAAAAGGGGCGGACCGAGGCTGGCGGCCTGTTCGTGAACAGCCACGTTTGTCTTCTAGGAAGTACGTTTGGGATTCAAACGCCATCACCTTGAGCTCTCAATGTATGTCTCCTAGTGGTTGATAGTCCGATGGCACCGAGGGTGTTTTCTTGAAAAAAGATGGAGATCAACGGCACGACATGTGTCTCATAATTGCGCCGGTGGAAAATGCGGGGATATGCAAGCATGAGTCGGAGTTATTGCCCCTTTGATTCATCAATTTGACTTTCTACCGTGTTTTCGGGTAGGATCATTTACCTCGACAAGGAGGTCTTGTTCAGAGCGAAGTCCTTCACACCTGGTCTTGATTGCTGGTCCGTGAAGACGGCAGTTAGGGTTGCATTGTTGACATCTATGAGAGGCGTAGACTGCTTGACCTCTCATGTAATGAGATGGTCAAAGAGTTTATTCATCTCTTGTCGTAGTGGATGTCTGACGTTGTTTTCTTATCAGATCGCCACAAAAAATTCGGACCGGCACGAACATTGCCGTGTTGAAGAAACTGACAGCTCCGAAGCGACACTGGTCTCCGGCACTAGAAACGTCTTCCACGCGAACCTTTTACTAATGCATTGCTAAAGGTGTTCCCACTACTGTATTAATATAAATCTTTGATCTTACATCTCGTCCCACATTTCAGTGAGGCATATACAGAATTAAAGCTCTACGGCCTATACAAGTTAATTTATAGAACTGAGAAGGGAAGCATCACAATAATAGTCTCGGCTCGGTAGCTCAGCAAAAATCACCACATGAGAAACTACTCGGGAAAGATTGACATCGGATAAATCGGTAACCTTATGGCTGCTGCTTGCTAAAAAAAACCGAATATTCTGAATCTCAATAGACAATATACCATGTTGTTGAGTCCGGAAGATCATTGTTAATTTATTTAGCTTAACTGCATGGTTTTCGTCGAAGTCTGAATTCTAGAGATCCATACACCACGTTCATATGCAATTATTATTACTACTACTTCTCTTCGCAAAAGTCACGGAAGCCGATTCTTTACAAGCACTTCATTGATGCCTCTAGATATCTACAAGTGACTTGTATAACCTTATCATGCCCTACAGACATCACAAAAGTCAAAAATATGTACATTTGAAAACTTCAATCCTCATGATAATATTAGGTGGGGAAAAAAAATTCATTGTAGTGCACCCTCCGGGAATCGAACCCGGGGCCAGCGCAAACTGTGCTGTACAGCATGGGAAGCGCTGATTTTACCACTAAACCAAGAGTGCTTGTTCGTTCACCTTCCTCAATCGTAGCAATTTGGAATTCCAATGAACGGTGCATTTCAGATCTAATCATTTGATCCAAGTGCACTGTGGGGTGATAGTTGCTTATTTAATTATATATTAGATGATGCGTAAATGCGGGGACACCATAACTAATAAGCCGAACTATACCCGTTGTGAAGTTTGCTGTACAGACCTGGAGAACATATAAAAATTACTAAATCTAGAAACAAATTTGAAGAAGATGTTGATTTATTCGCAGCTAACTAGAATTGAAGCTTCTAAAATCTTCAATTGGCCGACCTTATGTGCGTAATCTACGACATATTCCTGGTTAGCCATGCCCTGCAAAGCCCGGGCACCAGCCACATCATCAGCCTTATTCCTCCCACCATGAACTTTGTCAACTTGAAAGGCTGAGACTCCTTCGCGAGCGCAAAGCACCAGCACCAGGAAAGATGAGCGCAAAAATAGAGAAGATAATAGTCCGCCTGCAAGGAAAGTGCGTAATCCTCCCCAGTCACCCATTAATTTCCTCCACTTCCGCTAAAGCACATCAGAATCACGGAAGGGCAATTCTATGAAGCCCAACAACAAACCCGTGTCGTCGCTGCCCGCTACGTCAAGCAAGAAAATTGGACTGCAGCAATAGACATCCTCTTCAATGTCGCATCCTCACTTCTAAAAGCTGGCCAGGGTGGAAGTGGAGGAGATTTGGGACTGTTTTTGATCGATGTGTATAAACAGGCGGAGCTTAAGCCGGATTCAAGTAATAAGGGAAAGCTTTTGACCCTATTGCGGCAGTTTGATCCTGAGGAACCGACGAGGAAAAAGTTTATTGGGGAGATGATTGGGTATGTTTCTTTGATAGAGAGGGATACAGCATGATCTGATAAGTTCCAGATGGTCTTCGAAATGTGGTGAATACCCTGCTGGTGAACCGGATCTACATCACGTTGCGGGGAGCTTATATGCGGAGGAACATGATGCTTACGAGGCAGAGCGACACCTTGTGCTGGGAACGAAGGATTCGCCGGAGATTTTGGTGAAGATGGAGTATGAATGGTATACACAGGACGACTCGCATACCGCTGCGCTCTATGCTGCTCGAGCAGTGTTTCCATACCTCATTACTGGCAATATTCGAGATGCATCGCTATCACTACGATTGTTTACAAGCAGAATTACGGAGGAGAACAAGAATTTGGCAGTTCAAGATGTTAGCAGTAGTAACTCGGATATGAGAGTATATCCTAGTCTGCCACTACTGAACTTCTTGAACCTGCTGGTATTCGCAGTACAAAAGGGTGCGGCAGATTTGTTCAAACAGCTAAAGACCAAATATGCTAGTCATATCAAGGAGACAGGCATATGGGACGAAGCATTGGTTTCGATAGGAGAGATGTACTTCGGTATTCAGAGGCCAAGACAAGGCAACCCGCTGTTTGACATGATGGGAAGCATGTTTGGAGGTGGAGGGGCGCCTGCAAAGCCACAACCAAAACGCGTAGGAGCATCTGCGCCAGCAGCTGAGGTACTAGACTGAATCCCACGCTATGCCAATACCCAAGTAGCAAACTGTTTCCGTAACGCCTGGGTATCATGAACGCTTTGTGTAAAGACCATGTGAAATCCTGCAATGTTATCGTATAATCGGTTCTTCCTCTGCTTCGTACATCCAATTGTCTTCCGCTAATGCTGCTACTTTGGCGCGGAGACTGGCCTTGACAGCCTCGAGGAGTTCTGCCATGTGTTAGCTATAGAATAAACTCTAGGATCAGTTGCCCTCTAACCTGCAGGCTCACTTGGAGCACGGTTTCTGTCTCGCTGATGGTGCTTCACCGCATCTGCTAACCGCTGCCTCTCTTCTATTATCATATTAGCACTCAATCCTCCCCAACAACCACCGCTCCTTACTTTCATCCTCATGTGCATCCCCAACCCCTCCTTCCTCTTGGTCATCAAAGGACTGCATCGGCGGATCCCCAATCTCAAATTCCCCATTCTTATCCCTAATCACAATATCCGAAGTATCCGATTCATGATCGATATCTAGTCTAAGAGTTTCTACGGATGTAGAGGTAGAGGAGGTGGTAGGACGGCGGCTCAAAGTCGCCTGGAAAAGGTTCCGTCGTATGCCTTGGGTACTTCGATGGCTTTCCCTGCTGGTGCCTGCCTGGGCATGTCTTCGTTCTGGCATCCTGAAACTGGGGTTATAATTACAATTAAATAATGAATGTGGCCTCAGGAGGCGGGGTAAAGCATGAAGGCGTAAGGTCGTAGATGGTTTTGGTTGGTGTTTGTTGACCATCGGTTGGTTCCCTTCGGTTGTTTGTGGGGTAGCAACGACCTTCTGAAAGACAAACCTGTCACCTGCTGCTGGCAGAAGGTAAATTTATGACTAGTCGCTATATTCGTAGGGCCACAATGCTCTTACAAGAAAGTTCCTAAGATGACTAGCACTTTCGATATCCAGCCTATTGGTCGCTTTCATGGCCATAGCGCTGCCATTAAACGTCCAAGAGTAAGTGAAAACCCTCTTCTTGTGTTGAGCTTCGAGTAGTGCTTGGGTCCATTACCTAGCCCTTCTTGAATTGCATTCAAGCTCTTATCAATTATTCTCCTTTCGAGATGCGGACAGTCACCCCTATCCAATACATAATATAATCTGCGGATATCTAAGAGAAGCATTCAGTGGTGCTGATTGTTCTTCTTATTCTTACATTCCGAATTCTCTCAAGTATTCTTTATGAGCTTTGCTTACACTGGAAGTAGGAAATAGCATGTTTCTCTTATAATGACAAGCATGAATTTCAACTTGATGACTCTTCAATAAGATGGTACTACCCGCCGACATTGGGCGCAGACCTCTCAAAAGGTTTTGATACCTTTGAAAAGCTTAACGATGAGGCAGATGAACACCTTGACAGTCTTTTAAGGACTATCATAGACCATGAACAAAAGACAGGCCACCGTGTTGAGGCCGACTTTATTACCTGGCGTGGGATGATGACCAAGGTAAGCTAGACTAGCCACACTGAAGTAGTATCTACTAAAATTATGAAGTTTATGGCTGCAATATTTAGTGATCGAGACGGGTAACGATTTTTCGCTGTTCATTCATAGATATTTGCTTACTTATTAACAGATTTGAGATGAATGCTACGTTCTACCAGGTGGGCAATCACATCAAGACATCTTCAAACCGTAGCTGATTGAGTTTCTTGAAGGAAACGATGTATGGTCTCTAGAAACAAGATATGCAACTCTCACTGATAACACTAGTTTTATCGAAGAGAACAAAAAATTTAAAGTGGAATCTCAAAGGAGGCAATCGGCGCAACGACCACAGCCAGGACGCCCATCCCAAGATATGATGAGTTTTTGGGGTATGTGAGGACTAATTGCCTTCATTGTCAGTGCTAATGCTCTCAGGGTACAAATTTGAGACACTCTGTTTGCTGCCGGCTCCGTGGGCTGAGACTCCAAGAGACTATATCGAAAACCGAGAGAATGAGATTGTGAATAACTATGCTCAATACTGCTCTGTTGTTCGGACGGGGATAGGTAACTCAGTAATGATCCTAGGTGGGGAGGTTGATGCAGGTATTTCGTTCTTTACCACACATTTTCCCCTCCTACTAACGAGAATGAGTATGGGATAGCAAGCCCACTGATGGCAGCCCGACTAACTGGGTAGAATTGAAGACAAGCGCTGATATTCGAAATGATCGAGATATGGTCACATATGAACGAAAATTGATGAAGTTCTGGATACAGTCATTCCTGCTAGGAGTACCCAAAATTATTGTTGGCTTCCGAACACCTGACGGAATTTTGAAGAGAATCGAGGAGATGGATACAGCGTCAATACCAGGGACGGTCAAGAGAGTGGGAAAAGGAACATGGGATGGAAATATGTGCATAAATTTTGCGTCGTCACTACTTGACTGTGAGTCGCGTTCAAACAATTCTATTCTAGCTAACACTTGTAATAGTCCTCAAAGCGACAATCACGGGCGATGGAGTTTGGCGGATTCGAAGAAAGGAAAGATCTTCAACGATTGAGGTCTTCAAATTTGAGGAAACGGGACACGGAGATATACTCCCTGACGAGTTCATTAATTGGCGGATCAAACTTAGTGTGAAGGACCAATGACAACTTGTGCCAGAAGTTAATACACTGAACCTAGTTGCTAGTAACGATGTGGGGAAGTCCGCTGGTCAGCAACGATGATCTTGAATGGCCAAATTTTACTCAATTGAACTGAACACCGGCTGCCACAGGAGAGTCTCTTGGTCACCGAAAGGATACGGAGGTTTATGCGGGGAACTCAACTTCTTTTGGTGTCTTCTTAGTGATAGGCCATGACTGAAATTCACAGTTGAGCCTTCAAGGATAAGATGGACGTATGATTGTGCAAGGAAAACGCCCTCACTGTGTAAGTTGGCATGAGAGCACATGCGGATGTCCGTGGCATGTCATATGCTTGATATTGTGCATCGCCGACAGCCTTCCCTAAAAGAATTAACTGAACCCAAAGATAATCATGATGGTCACGTGGCGCATGCCTAGTCTTTTGCCACCTTCAATTCTGATGCCCTTTTTGAACGAGTGAACCCCCCCTGAATGTTGAAGAAAAGTTACATAGTTTCGGTGAAGATTGTTTGCAAGGAACCCGAAAGGACATCGATGTCGGGAATGTTGAATTCTAATAAGCTGCATTGCAACGCCGCTTCGGAAAACCCAGCAGCCACTCTGAAATACTTTTCGTGTGTGTCCGTCGCTTTAGATAACCTTATCCTCACGCTATTAAAACAAAACTTCAATTGAGTCCGTCATAAAATCACAAGCGTTTCCCCTTCATGTCTCAAATCAATTGAGTCAGCCACCCGTTCACGATAGCCGTCTTTTGGACCTCGCCTTGTTCACCAAACCTTGTTGAGCCGAGGCACCCAGCAACAAGGAAAATACCTCGAGTCCACAATATACCGAAATGATT